ATAAATATTGATTGTCGGCAAAGTTCTATTTTATTTACTTTTGTTTACATTAATATTGACTAAGAGCACGTATGGTTGGTTGTATAGTAATTTCCAGCCACTTCGAGTCTGTCAAAAAGTAACTAACTTCGCAAAAAAATAATTACTAAAATCACTAGACAGTTCGGACTGGGAATAGCGAACCGGGTATAGTAACATTTTGCCTAAGCAATTTGAGCTCAAACGCTTTATTTTGGTGTCAGCTATCACCCATTAGCTGATGTAAAATTAATTATTTGACACTCTGTAGAGTAATTTTCCAAGGCCCAAAAGAAAATTTCAAACATTTTTAGTTATTTTTATTTATTACTTTTTTATTTTTCATTTTACGTTTAAAAGTAATAGAAATAAATTTTCTGCGTGATCGTATTCACGAGGTAGGAGAGGAAATGGCATTAAAATAAACTCAAACAAAACCAAATTTTTAGTGTTTAGTCGTGACACACATCCCGATGCAAAGCTTCAATTGAACGGAGTACAAGTTGAGAAAGTTCACAAAATGACATATTTGGGAACTGTGATAACGGATCAACTAGATCCAGACATAGAAATAAAACGTTTACTTTTATGAAAATGAAGTCATTTCTTTGCAATAACCATCTCAATCTACTCTCAATCTCAATCTACTAAAAGTATCGATCATGAACAAAATTGAAGCATTGGAAATGTGGGTTCATAGACGAATGCTGGAGATACCTTTGAAACCAAGAAAAACTAATGAAGAAGTACTAAGGAGCGTCAACAAAGTCGATATAAAATTTTACAAATGATCCTTAAAGGTAAAATAGAGGGCCGTAGAGGTGTACGAAGAAAACAACTTGGTTAAAAAACATTCGTGAATGGACTCAGATACCAAATGCAGGAAAATTATTCCATATTGCACAAGATCGAGAAGCCTTCGCAATGGTGATCGCCAACGTAGGATAATTCTGATATGGCACGCGAAGACAATTTAATTTGCTACAAATAATGTGTAATAAAATATTTTGTAGGATTGCTAGTTTATGACATACAGCGCGAAAACACTTTCCCGCTTTTCCAAGATTGCGGCCGGGGGACAAGGGTCCCCAAATAATTGAAATTAAGACTATACTTACCCTCCCACTACATAAAAAAAATAAAATTGCGTCTCTCTACGAATCTCTACGATTCGGTTGATTAATATCTGATTTTGTATTGTGGAAGATAAAATTAAACAATTGTATAACGTGTCAAAGTGATACGTCAAAGAATTATTCATTCACATTCAGATGTTCACAAGTGCATCACTTTTTTTTATTACAATTGAAATTTGGTAATTATGTCAAAATAATGAAATTTTGTAAAAATAAAAAATATGAATAAAATATAACATTTCTTTAAACGAATATTTTTTACCATACGGTACAATCTACTAAATATCCCAGTCTGGTTATGCAAAAATCAGCGATTTTACGGCAAAATTTTACGCAGATATCTGAAGCTTTTAAGACCTAGGTGGGAGTTACTAGATGACGAATAGATGAAAGTTACTCGTATTTTTACCTTGCGTTTTTTTAAACTATAATATATCGTCACAATTTGATTTTTTGTCTATATTTTTTTTTTCCTTATAAATATTGTTTATGTAAAATATATCATTTTTTATATCAAGAATATCTATTTTCCCGTTTTTTAAATTAAAACTGATAAATAATTTACGGAAATATTTGCGCAGTTTTTTTGCACTAATTTATAAACTTTATTAATGTTTTATTAACGAAATAAAATGTTATTAATACATTTGAACATCGAGAAATTACCGTCTTTTAAATTTGTGCGAAATTTCCCCCCGATCGGTCAAACAGTTTAAAATTATTTAAGTTATTTATTCCTGAGGCTAACGTTTAAACTATTGAACTTGCTCTATTAATGTTGCTAGACACATTTTGCAAATTTCATAGGATTCTTTAAGACTTAAACTATCTCAGAAGTTAAATGCATATTGCGTTTTCATCGAAATTATTAACAAAATAAACGTTTGAAAAATGGGTATGTTTTTACTTATAAACAATTGTAATAACTTTATATTTTTCAAGCTACAGACTTGTACGTACAACCATTGTTTCGCTGGTAAAAAAACTTAAAAAAAAAACCTTCTGTGACTAATAGGAACGAAGTTAAAAAATCATATCTCCATTATTTATACGCATTAAGAAGTAAAATTTGCACAAATTTTTAATGAAAATCTTATCTTTATATTGAAAATTATAGCTGTAAAATTCATCCAATTTTTCGAAACTGACAGTCCTTCGAAACGAAGGCACTTTCGAAAGATCGTCATAGGAAAGTGAATGGGATAACTGTTTTAGCTCCGTTTTTTTTTCGGATCGGAACTTCAAATTGAAACACGTAGAAAAAATTTACATTATCTCGGCTTCCATTGCAGCTAGAAGCCTCTTTTTTTAATTTGGGGTAGCTCGTCGAAATATGAATAACTACATGGCCGGGAAATATGGGAAACCTCGGAAAAATTGAGGTTCATTTGAAATTCACCGTAAAACCTTACTTTTTTTTTTTAATTAGGCTGGAATAGTCTGTCGCAGTATTAATAATGATGACATAATTTTCACCCTCCCGGAAATCTCGGAAAATCCCGGAAAATCAACATATATTTTTTTTCAGTTTGTATCCATGATATAATAATGCTTATATATTTTATAAATTAAATTTCATGTAATTTTTTACACATTATATTATTATATTCCTTATCATCATCATCAATGGTGCTACAGCCCTATGAAAGAGCCTCGATCTTCCCAAGTCTATTACGCCAGGCAGTCCTATCCATTGCCAACCGTTGCTGCACCTATCTTTCTACCATCCTCATCTACACCATCCTTCCATCTGAGTTTTGGCCTACCCCTTTTTCTACTTCCCACGGGTTGTGACATAAGGATTCTTCTAGGAGGGTTGTTCTGCTGTGATCTTGCTAGATGTCCTGCCCATCTTAGTCTTCCTATTCTTATAAGAGATACTACGTCTTTACCACCAAATATTTGTTTATATCTGTGGTATACCTCGTAGTTGTATCTCCTCCTCCAAACACCATTTTCACAGATGCCACCAAATATTCCTCTCAGGATCCTTCGTTCAAATATAAGCAAAAGGTCTTCGTCTGCCTTGGAGATGGTCCATGTCTCCGATCCATATGTCAACACTGGCTGTATAAGGGTTTTGTATATAGTTATTTTTGTTTTTTGGCTTAAGTTTCTACTTCTCATATGTCTACTCAGTCCAAAATAGCATCTGTTTGCCATTACTATCCTTCGCTTGATTTCTTCCGTTATGGCGTTCTCTTTGGTGATCAGGGAGCCTAAGTATGTGAATTTGTCAACCACTTCAAAGGTAGAGTTATCAACCGTGAATTGGGGACCGATGTTCCTGGCTCTATTGTTGGGTGTTGATGCCATCATCTTAGTTTTCTCCTCATTTACTTGCAGGCCCATAGATTTTGAGGCATTTGAGAAGGTGGTATACATTTCTTCTAGCTTGCGTGTTGTGCGGGCAACTAGGTCTACATCATCTGCATATGCCAAAATTGAGGATGATTTATTAAAAATATTTCCTCTGTTGTCTATTCGGGCATCTCTGATCGCCTTTTCCAGTGCTATGTTGAAAAGGAGACACGCCAGCGCGTCTCCCTGTCGCAGCCCAACATGCGTTCCAAACGCCTGTGATTGTTCGCCCTGTATTTCGACTTTGCAAACCACATTACGCATTGTAGATTATATTCCTTATATTAATTATAATTATTTACTACTTTGACGATCTATATGTTTATATATGTGTATAGGTATATGTACAGTACTAGGACGGTAAACACATTTATTTATGTTTTTAGATCTAAATATTTCCAAAGATCACAGAGTATACCGAATAGGAGAAAGGTCATCTATATAATAGAAAACCGGTAATATATCTTAGTATGCGTAAAAAAAGGCGGAATAAGTAGCAGCTGCCACGCTTCAAAATTTCTTCAAAATGGTCCCTAACTTCGTTCCTATTGGTCATCGAAGGTTTTTTTAATGTGAGTTTTTTACCAGCTATCCAATGGTTGTACGAACAAATCTGTAGCTTGAAAAGATAGAAGTTACTACAATTGTTTATTTTGTAAATAATTTCGATGAAAACGCAATATGCATTTAACTTCTGAGATAGTTTAAGTCTTACAGAATCCTATGAAATTTTCTAAATGTGTCTAGCATCATTAATAGAGCCAGTTCAATATTTTAAATATTTATCCTCAGGGATAAATACATTAAATAACTTTTAAACTATTTGACCGATCGGGGGGAAATTTCGCACAAATTTAAAAGACGGTAATTCCTCGATGTTCAAATATATTAATAACATTTTATTTTGTTAATAAAAAAATTAATAAAATTTATAAATTAGTGCAAAAAAACTGCTTTTTTTGCAAATATCTCCGTAAATTATTTATCAATTTTAATTTAAGAACGGGAAAATAAAGATATTCTTGATATAAAAAATGATATTTTACATAAACAATATTTATAAGGGAAAAAACGCAAGGTAAAAATACGAGTACTTTTTCATCTATTCGTCATCTAGTAACCCTCACCTATGTCTTAAAAGCTTCAGATATCTGCAAAAAAATTTTCGACCATTTTTTAACCAGACTGGGCCATAAATGGACTCTGCATAAAATGGTATCACCTCAATAGTTTGAATCATAAGATACATGTTCTAATATTTTAAAATATATTCACCTTTTATGATTTTGATTTTGTCCTGTGTGAAACAATCATATAATTATTTCAGATTTTTATAAAAAATGCCAAACAGAGCTATTTGATATAACAATTTGTGACTGTTTTATATTCGTTGTGAAGTTATTGGACTAAGAATACCAGTAAAAAATGTGAATAAACTGCCACTAGTTTTCTCTTTGTTCAGGTGGCCGTTGCGTAATCGTTCAAATGAAGCCAGCAGTGGCAAAGGTTGTGAATCCTTTGGGCACCGTGGTGAACGTTCATTCTGACGACGAAGCCGACGTAGAAGTTTTCGAAGAAGCCATTCACGAGAATTGTGATGAAACGCTATTTAGGCCAGTAGTCGCACCTAAACCTGCACTGCATAACGATAAGGTGCAATACGGTGAGAATATTCTTACTAAAAGTTTAGATTCCACAACGGAAGTAGCTGTTAAAATATTAAAGAAATCCACAGATAAATCAGAAGACAAACCGATTGCTAGTTCCAACAAAATCACGTCGGTAGATGCCAAGAGTAAAAGTGAAAGTAAAAGATCTAAAAAAATTATTACCAAGGTTAAGGTAGAACCCATTTTTAACCTTTTAGACACCAAACCTTTAACACCAATTGTTACAGAAGTAGAAAAGGTCAAACCTCTAGTATCCATAGAAAAATTAAACATAGATTTTGAACAAAGCAATAAAAGTCTCTTAGACTTCCCTACTTTAGACAATGACGATTTTTTCTCTCTAGAAAACCTTCCCAAGGTTGAGAACTTCGAAGACGCAAACGAAGAGCCCAACACAGCGTTTAGCGATAAGAAAAAGTCCAAGTTAAAAGTCGATAGAAGCAGTATAGAGCACGTTTCAGAGAACAATTCATCAGAAGAAAATGCTTTTGAAGAAAAAGTAGCTCCCAAACGCAACAGAAAGCCGAAGGCAAAGCTAGGCGTTAAGATAGTTAATAATAATAACGAAAATAGCAACGCGGATAAGAACCTAGAGAATTCTTCATCTGATATAACACTGCCCGCTCCACCCAAGAAATCCTGGAGCAACATTGCTGCTACTAAACCCAAACCGAAGACTATCATCGATTGCACAGTAGACGATTTGCCCAAGATCGAATTCGTTGAAGAAGAATTCACCATACAGTTGCCCAAGAGGGCGCCTCAGGCTTCTCCAAACATATCAGACTTCATCGATGTAAACGTCAGCGAAGAGGAAAAGGCGGATACCGATACAGATAAAGATGTCTTCTCCATACCTGAAGATTCGTTTTTGTTGTCGGCAGGCCATAAGTGTTCTGATGATGAAAAGTGTGACCTGAGCAGCTCCCCCACGGAGGCTACTGAGAGCGACGATTCGGGAAAGATTTCCAACACCACGATTTTTGTAGAGACCAAAGTACCCACGATAGCCAAGAGTTCGAAGAAGAAAAAGAAGAAAAAATAAGATTGGTGTTAAGAAATTTTTGGTGTCGTTTGGTAGACCCGTTAAAAGAGTGATGGTTAGGTTGATACTATGTTAGAAAATATTAATTTTTGAAAATTGTAATTTTCTGAACAAGAGTCTATTTTTAAAGTTTGTTTTTAGCGTGTAAAACAATTAATAAGGGCTCTTTATACATTTTAATGTTTAGTAAGAAACATTAATGGAATATTAATTCGAAAAGTTGCTTTAGGTATTGTGCAAATGTTACGTAAATTATTTCAATCATTATTTTGAAAAAATAAAATGTTATAACGATCAAAATTCAGAAAATAGAGAGAGAGGCAGGTAATTGCAGGAGTATGTTCAGCGTTTTATCCCCTACAATCTCAAGGGGATTTTAGTTTCTTGTGCTGACTATAACCAGCTGTGAATTTTAAGCGATGTTGTATATACCATGTTAATTGTAAAAAGTTTCGTCATATTTGCATTTTAATACGGATTTGACAATATTGTGACTGTTAATACGCATCAGATAGTAGTTATTTATATACCAATTCGATAAAGAGTGTTTACTGGCGTGGTGCATACAAAGTTGTATTGCCAACCATAAAAAACATTTACAAATAATCTTATTTTGTGTAATCTAATTGTTGCGTTAACGTACAAGAATATATAGTCATAAATACAACAGTTTGCTGGAAGAAGTTCTGCAGCTATCTCTAATGACTTCTTATGTATTTCAGGTGGCGTACATGTCACTTCTTCCATTTCCTCAGTACTACCACAGAGTAGTGAGCAGTACTATTATAATTTCAAATTGGTGTTAACTAAAGAAATTTTAATATTAGACAAAATAAAAATTTCATGTCAGTAGTGATAGATGACTTTTGTATGATGGCTGCTTTCGATTTTTAATCGATAGTTATCAATACTGAATAATTACTAAATCGGTTAACTAAATTTAAGTTTTGATTTATTTTGCATGAATTTAATTAAAAAATACTGCAGAATTTCACTTTGTGACATAAATTTAATCAATAATTACGTTCTTTTGTGTAATATTTGTAACAATTAAGATAAGATAAAATTTAAGTTCATTCAAATAAAGAATCGATTACTGCCATCGACCCATCGAGCAATAAGACAAAAGAGGGAATGTAAAGGTAGTGGGGGTAAACATATTGATAGACAGGAAGTGCCATCTTGAGAGGCCACTTTAGACAAGGATAGACAGTCTCTTTCCTTGTTTAAGAAGTCAAATTTAGTTAGGTTATGTTATTGTTTGTCCCAACTGTCACATGAAATTTTATTTATATTGAAATCTTTTATCAATTGTGTCACTTTTTAGACTATTATAGTTAATATTTAATTAAAACTTTCTCGTCTGAAAAATATTTTACAGGTATTGTTAATAAGTGTTGGAAAATTTAAATTTAGCGCCTTTGCATTTCCGGATATGTCCGCCATCAGAGGCCACTTTTTTGGTCTCCTTTTCATAACGATTAGATTCCCTCTTTTATCTTTTTGCTCGATGCATCGACCACTGCCATTCAATTTCAGTTAACTTGATTAATATTTGCGGCAGATAAAGTTCTTCGTTCAGTACAATAAAGTGTTACTTTACTGCCACAAATGAGTACAATAATAAATGACTTTAATGAAGGTTGGCGATAAACTATTTATTCTTTTATTCTATTTGCATTATGCACCTAGTCAGAGAGAGAAGATTTTAGCACGTCGTAATTTGTTCGTTTCAATACTCTATAATGCTATTATATAATAATTTAGTTTTTTTCTTTCTGTTATAATCTGCCACTCTTCCTTAAACCAGTTACTCGTTCTTGTCTTCTTTGTTTACCTTCGATACCGAGTAATGCCAGCTGCTTCTTTATATTTTGTTTATATTCTCTATTTTTGTACCTATCTTTGAGTCCTTCTACATTCTATCGTTCATGTTTAAAACCTATTCCTCTTTTGTGTTTAAAATTTTGGCCCTTATCCTACTTTCGACCCAGTACTGATCAGAATCCGTGTTTGCTCCTCTCCTGGTGCGTTTTTATATTCATTTGGTGTCTTGAGTGTATAATAATATGATCTATCGTATTTGTCATATCTATCTGATGATTTCCAGGTGCCTTGTGTATATCTTTTCGAGTTAAGTTAAAATTATACAATCGATTATAAAAAAACTACTATGAATCACATAAGACATTTTTGAATGACATTTGAAATCAGAGCTTCAAAAATATTTAAAATTCGTTATTTCTCCAGTACCAAATTCCTTTTGTTGGGCACGTATTAAGCATGTTAAACGTCTACTTTATATTTCATTATATATCTATATTCTTCCAATATATTTATATTCTTCCTCTGGCGCAATGTTCAGTTTTTTTATTGACTCTTGTAGAATGAAAGTATTTGCTTTTTGCGTAGTTGCAGCAATCGTTGATTTAGCTGCTAATTCAGCTGTTGATTCATCTGTTGTATCTTTATTCTGCTGTGTAAACACATTTCGACATAATTTTAGAACATTGATTAATTCCGCTATTAAATGGACTAACTCGCTTATTTTGACACTCAAGAGATTTAAATTTTTCTCAGAAATAAACTTCGAATCTTGATAATTGCCTTTCATTCTGTTTGCTGCCGAATACGTAGAGTCAATTGCGGGAAGGATTGTATTTGTAACAATATGATTCATTAAAACTTATTTTATAAACTAGATATTGTTATAATGTATAGTGACCATAAAGGAAACATATTTTGGGAACATATATGGGTAATTGACACGTGATTTCGACTATTTTCGACCAGTTACGACGCGTGATTTTGGATGACTAATATCATTTTTTGTTTGCTAGAGTATAGTACAGTATAATTACTATACTGTATACTAAGTATACTATGAAAATAGTACAAACTCGTCATGCGTACAGGGTACCTGTTCTTCTTCTTTCTCGCTTGCTCTTCTCTCACTCGCTTTCTCTCTCTTTCTGTGTATGGGATGCTTTGGAAGTTTAAATCGAGGTTTGGTAAATGTTTTAATGTTTTTTAGTTAGTGACCTAGTGATATTTTTTGATTATCTAGGAAACCACTCAACTCAATTGCCCCGGATGCTAATCTATCCACTAATTGAGTGCTTTCATTTGACATATACCTTGAGCTTGAGTGACAATTTTACTACAATTAAAGATATAAGATTGGATCTTATATAGTATTGCCATAGCAATTTTTTGAATTAATTATTGGTTTATTTTTGGTAGCTGTGTTCTTATATAGTTAGTTAATTAAATAACAATATATTTTTGAAAATTGCATTTTCTAGCGTAGTAAACACTAAGCCCAAAAGTGTGTAAACGTAAATTATTTTAACTGTAATCTATTAATATATTTGTAATATATTTCATCTACTATTTAAGTATTTAGGCACTGCTGGACAACCTGAATACTATTGTATTTTAAATGGTTATTACACCATGTGAGTATAAGGTTTCCTAAACGTCATACATACACAATTATTAGCAAAAGAGTATATTGAAGCTTTCAGTTTTTAATTAGTATACCAAAAGAGATATACAGATAAAACTTATTTTAGAAGGAAAATATTCCTTTTTATTTTGGTGATACATAGAAAGAAAGGGTGAAGAACTACTAATGTAGATTTAATTCATTAAATTGTTTTTTAGAGGTAGGTACTTTTAAAACAATATATATCCACAGTTGCAGATCTTTAACTTGCAGGTTTTAATTTGGGATCACATTAAAAACACTAATATGACTAAAATATGAATAAACTTAAATGTTTTATCTACATTTTCTAACAAATGAAAAACAAGTAAAAAAGTCAACAATTTTAATTTCCTTAAAAAAGCGGCAACATTGCTGCAAAATCATACATTTTCACAGGAAAATATGAAGAAAGAATATCTTCTGTAAAAAAATTACACGATGGGTCAATGAGTTTTTATCACTTGAGATATAATCCCAATAATTCGGGACCTTTTTCTTTGTCTTCAAGCCTATGAAGGTCTCTTAACAAGTCTTTAAGATAATTTCGAGATATTAAGCCAGTAGAGACGAAGACATATCTGTCATCATCGATCTTTAGTCGTTAGATGCACAAGTTTTATTTTTATTCAGAATTAATATGACGAAACAAGCTAAATAATTTTTAATAAATAAATCTGTTTTCATCTCAGTGCTACATTTTATTTGTTTTGAGGCTACATATAATGCGTAAATATAGCAAGAGCTATTGCTGGAGACCGTGCATCTACGATTTCTACTGGTTTTTAAAATTGTAATTACCAACATTAAAAAAAATTTAGAAATGAAAGTGATGAAAGGGAAACAAATTATATTACTGTCAACCCAGTAACAACCTCCTTACTGTTAGTAAAAAATATAATAAGGAAAAAGTTCTTACAGCTCTGTGATTGTCTTATTTTATCCTGTAGAAATTAATACTTAAGTCACATAGAGTTGCATACCTACTAACTATCGTGTTTATCGAGATCCAAGAAAGTGAAAAAATTAGCAAAACGTACATAAACGTACATACAACGTAAAAAAAACTTAAAAATTAATAAACATAAATTATTGTAGAAGAAAAATGACCAAAATATACCAAAGCGTTAGTGTCTAGAAGACTAATAATGTAAAAAATCAATGTCGTTATTAGAATTGTGGTAGCAATCACATTTAGCAAGTAAATGTGTTTTTAAATCTTTTGGGAACCGCAAGTAAAAGCGGGATTTCATAATCTTTATCCACAAAATTTTTAATTCTGAATCAAAATCCGTCACCAGTTTTTTGGTATTGATATGCACAGTAGATATCTCTCCAGACTAATTTATGATCTGTAGTCTACATCTGTCCACCCTCACAACAGCCATACACAGCATAGCCCCAATGGACACTGTACTTCTGCAGTTTGGCAGCCCCACCGTAACTCATATCCAGGTGTGAGTGAATCATTAGACTGTAGGTAAATGATGTCTGGTACACTCTCTCCGTCTCT